AAAAAAAAAAAAAAAAAAAAAAAAAAAAAAAAAAAAAAAAAGAAACATAGGGCAGTTACCAGAGTTTGGAAGGACAAACTTGTCTGGTCCATTACTACCTGATTCATATTCTTCAAACTATAGAAAGTATAATACACAGTGATTTCACTCAACTATACACGGAAGTGTCACTGGTTTTAATTTATTTTTCTCTGAGGTGTTAATTTAATTGACCTTCCAAAACTTTTCAACCTAAAGTATTGAGCCCTTTTTTCTTTTGTAACAGCTCACCCAAGAATTCGTCTGTTTGTTACCCATGGAGGAATCAGCAGTGTAACAGAGGCCATCCAACATGGAGTTCCCATTGTTAGGCTTCCAGTTAACTTTGATCAGCCTTACAACATGGTCCAAGTAGAAACAAAAATGTTTGGAATCTCCATCCAGCTTCAGGATGTCAACGAGGAGACACTGGTCTGGACGATAAAACAAGTCATGGAAGAGAAGAGGTATGTATGGTGATGGTGTCATGATCATTAAGGTGGATGAAACTCTAATACTACAAGCATTATGGGAGAGTCTATTTTTAAATAACGAAGAATTGCCCAGGAAATGGAATTATGTATATGATACTAAGTGCTGTGTCCCCTGAAAGTAAATCAGAAACAAAGGAAACAATTCAAAGAATCAATGAAAGCAAGAGCTGGTTCTTTGAGGAAAATCATTAAGACCTTAGCTAAACTAACTAAAAGGCAGAGAGACAATATTCAAATCAACAAAATCAGAAATGAAAAGGGGGACATAATGACAGACAGTGAGGAAATTAAAAAATCATTAGGTCTTACTTCAAAAGCCTATACACCACAAAAATTGAAAATTTAAATGAAATGGACAATTTTTCTTGATAGACTCCATTTACCAAAGTTGGATCAAGATCAGGTAAATAAATTAAATAGTCCTGTATCCCCCAAGAAAATAGAAGCAGTCATTGCAGTCATCAAATGCCTCCCATTCAAAAGAAAACAAAAACAAAAACAAAAAACCACCACCACAACAACAATAAAAAACCTCAGGGCCTGATGGTTTCAACACAGAATTCTTCTAGGTCTTCAAAGAACACTTAATACCAATACTCTTCAAATTATTCCACAAAATGGAAAAAGAAGGAACATCACCAAATTTATTCTATGAGGCCACAGTCACTTTAATACCTAAAGAGTAGAAAGACTCAACAAAGAGATTTCAGACTAATTTCCCTTATGAACATTGACGAAAAGATACTAAAAAAATACTCACAAACCAAGTCAAAGAACACATCAAAGATAAATTCCACCATGACCTAGTAGGCTTCATCCCAGGCATGCAGGGGTGGTTCAATATATGGAAATCCATCAATGCAATCTACTATATAAACAAACTAAAAGAAAAAAAAAACACATGATCATCTTTTTAGATGCTGAAAAACATTTGACAAAATCCAACACCCATTCATATTTGAAGTCTTGGAGAGATCAGGGATACAAGGCACATACCTAAAGATAGTAAAGGCAATATACAGCAAGCCTAGAGCCAACATCAAACTAAACAGAGAGAAACTAAAATCAATTCCACTGAAATCAGGGACAAGACAAGGCTGCCCACTGTCTCCATATCTCTTCAACATAGTACTTCAAGTTCTAGCTAGAGCAATAGGATGACTAAAGGAGATCAAGGGGATACAAATTGGAAAGGATGAACTCAACGTATCACTATTCACAGATTATATGATAGTATACATCAATGACTTCTGAAATTCTACCAGGGAACTCCTGCAGCTGATAAACACCTTCAACAAAGTGGCTGGATACAAAATTAACTACAAAAAAAAAATCTGAAGTCCTCCTGTATACCAAAGACAAAGAGGCTGAGAAGGAAATTAGGGAAACAACACCTTTCACAATAGCCACCAATAACGTAAAGTACCTTGGTGTAACACTATCAAAATTATGATGAGATGCTGAAAATAAGTTAGGGGTTCTTTGAGTAAGATAATGTTTTTCTTTAATGAAGGAGGTGGTGTCTACAAACACACCACATGCTTCTCCTTTTCTTCCTCACTTCTTGTCTATTCATACTCTTCCATTCTCTTTAGTGAATAGCTTCTCCATGAGATTCAGATCTCATCCCTACTCATCCCTGACATCACCTTTTTGCCTCATTGGTTCTCACAGCCTCCTATCATGTCAGTTTTATTTTTCTTTTTCTTTTACATAAATTCCTTTTTAACACTTAGGGGCTACAAACACTCTATTTTTCTGCAGTTTTCTTTATTTTTGTACCTTATTGGAAGACAGCTATGCTCACCATTATGTCACCCACACACACTTTGTACTTTATTGTACTGTGGAAACTTCAGTATGTGTCCCTTGTCTTCCACTGTCTTCCCAGTGCCTAGCAAAAGGCTGCCACTAAAAAGGTAGTTAACAGTTTTCCATTCAGTGACTCAATGAGATGGGCTCTGGGCAGTTCAAGGTAAACACCTGTTAGTGGAACACAGTGACCTCACTTAAAGAGAAACAAATACTTTCCCCCTTAACTAAGAGAGAATTAATACCTTACTGAAGTTTCAAGGGCACAAACCTGAGTCAGTTCTCCAGATTTTACACATTCCTTTATAGTTAGGCACCCAGGCAGGTCTTGTTAGATGGGAGAAAAACAACCATGTAGCAGAAGGTATAAGACCTAGAACACTTGGTAGGCTCCAGGGAAGTTGTATGTATTTGTAGTCTTATGTGTTGTGAATTCTCATATGAGAATTCTGTGTGATGCTGGCCGTTGCCTTTCTGTGATGGATGTTCATTTCCTTAAGAACATTTAGACTTTCCTTGGATTTTCAGGTAATCAAATTTGGCCCTTACTCATTGTGCCCCATAATAGAGGCATTTTGGAGTGGAGTGTAATTGATGTAGTGCATCTTTAGGGCCAACTATGCAGTTTGTTAAAATGCAAATGTGAGGACTCTCCTTTTGCCTAATAAGTTTGAAACAAAGTGCAGGGCCCTGGAGCAAAGTGCAAGGCCCTGAACCCTGGTTCAGCGGTTAACAGCTCTTGCTGTTCTTAAGGAGTACTGGAGTTTGGTTTCCTGCACGATGCTATAGGGCTCACAGCCATAAAACCATAAGGTTCCAGGGGGATCTGATAACCTTTTTTTGACCTTCATAAGAAGCTGTATTCATGTGCACATGGACAAGTGTGTGTGCTTATGCCCTTGCACATGCACACACACATTAATAAAAAAAATCCTTAAATCAAGCATAGGATACTACTATGTATAATGTGTAAATGTGGAGCTTGAGTTGAGAAAACCAGTCTCTATTGTTGTAAGAAGGAAACGAGGCACAATTCTTGGCTTCAAATTCTTCAGAGTATTATTTGTCAGTTAGTCTACATTGGTTCAGGGTAATTGCTCCATATATATGATAATTATATTAGATCTAATATCCTAATTATTTAATAAAAGAGGTAGGGTCTAGTCCCTATATAGTAAATTTTTTAAATATCTCAGTACTTTTAGGGTTAATTACTGATCTTAGTGGGAAGGATTGTATTAGACTTTTCAAGTAGATCCAGCAAATGGCAGGCATGGTCATGTCAATATGTAAGCCACCTACAGGTACAGAATAGAAACGTGTGTGTGTGTGTGTGTGTGTGTGTGTGTGTGTGTGTGTGTGT